AAATTAATTAACGAACGAACGGAGATGTAACAGACCGAATTATTATTTTATTTCAATTTCTTCTCAAAACATACAATGGTTTTTTTTCACGGGTACTTTGATGAACATTGACACATTAAAAGACACTAAGATATCCTTTTGACCTAATGTTACATGCTTAATTCTTTCAACAAATTCAAACGTTATATTAACTGTGTATATATTTTTATCTCTTAAAAATTAGAATTTTTATATGAATTTTGTTACATTATATGTTGAACTCTTAACATTAGAAACAATATATCTAAAATGTTTCCCAATCTTATAAGCTTTATGCAAAGCATATAGTCTAGGTAAAATAAAGTTAGTCGAAATTAAACTTTGCTTTTCATGGAGTGTTAAAACTCACCCAATCGAAGGAAGAACACAAAAATGACAATGTAGTCAGGGCCAGCCGACCCAATCTGCCCAAATTTGGTGAATAGAAAGATGACATGGATGTTTTCCAGGAGAGATATGAAAGATTCGCCCAAAATCAGAACTGGGACAAAGGCGACTAGGCAGTCTTTCTCAGCCCACTTCTCACAAGTATATGCAGGCATGATATCAGAAGATGTTATGAACTATGACAAGTTAAAAGTGGCTTTGTTGAACCGATATGAACTTACCGAAGAAGATTTTCGCCGGAAGTTCAGTGAAATCAAACCTGACAATGGAAAAACTGTTTCAGTTTGGCACGTCTACGGCGATACTTCATCAGATGGACTGACATGGCCAAGTATGAAAATAGTTTTGAGGGACTGACAAATCTACCAATACAAGAACAGTTCATGATCATGTGTTCAACTGACATGCCACTATTCCTAAAGAAGAGAGCACCAAACGATTTGGAGGAGATAATCAAGTTGGCAGAACAGTATATGGAAGCCCATGGAGGGAGTATAACTGGCAAGTTCAAAAATATCCAGTTAAATTCGAAACCTGTGATGACTGACCAGAAGTAGGAGGTTAATAGACAGGAGGGAGAAGAGATGCTATGAGTGCAAGTCCATTACCAGCAAGCAATAGCAGAAATTTCAACATAAAGCAGCTGGAGCTATTTACAAAGATAGTGCTGGTAAGGAACAAAAAAAAAAGAGTGACTGTCACCGTGGATGAAGTTGGCTCATGAATCCATTGTGGGAGGACACCTAGGAACAAAGAGATGGCAGACAGAATCACTAGTAACTTCCATTGGTCGGGAGTTATTGGAGATGTGAGTAGATTCTGCAGGTCATGTGACATCTGACAAAGGACAATACCTAGATGGAAGGTAACTAAGGTGCTATTGGGGGAGATGCCTCTCATAGAAGAGCTATTCAGAGTTTCTGACAAGGGCAACCAGTATGTGCTGACAGTAGTTGACTATGTGACATGTTATCCATAAGCCATAGTACTGGCGAAGATAGAGACAGAGAGAGTAGCAGAAGCTCTCTTGGAGGTATTTTGCAGAGTAGGCTTCCCAAGAGAAATCCTGAGTGACAGAGGGACCAAGTATACTTCAGAACAGATTCAGAAAGTGTGCAGACTCATCAGTACTCAGCAGCTCTTTACCACCCCTTACAATCTTAGATGTAATGGACTTTGTGAGAGAGTCAATGGAATTTTAAAGAACATGCTAAAAAAGATGTGGTAAGAGAGACCACGTGACTGGGATATGTACTTGCAGCCAATATTATTTGCTTATCAAGAAATCCCACAAGCAAGTATAGGATTTTCACCCTTCGAGTTACTGTATGGAAGAGCAGTAAGAGGTCCGATGCAAATATTGAAAGAGTTATGGATGGGAGAAAAAAAGAGCCAGAAATAAGGAACACATACCAGTATGTGTTATAACTCAAAAACCGCATGGAGGAGACCTGTCAACTTGATCAACAGAGCTTGTATGTAGCTCAAGGCAGTCAGAATAATTTCTATGATAAGAAGGCCAATGATCGACATTTCAAGGTCGGACAAAAGGTCTTAATTCTGCTGCCCACAGACCACAACAAACTCACCCTGTAGTGGAAAGGACCTTTTGAAGTACAGGAAGTACTCAATAGAATGGACTACCACCTGGTGTGGTTGTTCTCACTTCACCTTGTTGGGCAAGTCTTTCTTTGTCAAGTCAGTCAATAATACAATAACTTCAGCATAGACAAAGTCACTGACTTCTGGTTTTACATTTATGATGGCCACATCTGTAACATCCATCTTTGTTTCAATAGCTGCAACCGTTAGGTCTTCTTCTCTCCCAAAATACTTCTTCAACAAATTGGCATGGTAGATCTTGGTCTTTCCATTCTTATTCACCTTACATTCCAGAAATTAAAGAACATGTTGGGAAGTTCGCCAATATTGAAAATGTTAAACAAATCATTCATTGTTCAGGCTGATGGTTCAGATGTTGGAATTGGGGCAGTACTCTTACAAGAACACGAAGACGGACTGTTTCCGGTGATATATATAAGTAAAAAGTAGTGAGAAGAACTACTCTATGATTGAACAAGAGTGTCTGGCCATCATATTTGCCTTTTTGGAAGTTCCAAAACTATCTATACGGGAAGGAGTTCATCATCCAGACAGACCATCAACCACTTGCATACATTCAGAGGTGCAAAATTTACAGTGCGAGGATCATGAGGAGGGAGTTGTAGCTTCAGAACTACAGATTTCACATTGAAGTCAGCAAAGGGACTGCAAATGTTGGTGCAGACTATGTGAGTAGACTTTGTGGATGAGCTGAAAACAGTCTTTGTATTAGTGAAAAATATATTATAAATATTTCTCGTGAGGAGGGCTTATGTCAGATATAAAAGACTGCTTAGTGTAGGTAGTATTATTAATTTTGTATTTTGTATTTGTAATTCATTGATGTAGAGGCTATCGAACGTTGTGTGCAATCCATTGCTATCGAGATTATAGAGATTTCTAGAAGACCTAATTGACAGACGTATAATTAACGGCGACCAGATGAGTGGAAAGAGAGAGAATAAAAAGTAAAGTCACAGGAAAGGGAAGTTGGGTGAGAAAAAAAGTTACAAAACACAAGGTTAACCATCGTAGGAGTGAAAGGCCCAACAGTTGATATGTTAGAGTAAGATTAATAGTTTTAAAGAGATAAGTAGAATAATTTGTCTTGTCAAAGAGTGTTCTAAAGTAATTTAACCTGCCTCAGTGGACTTTGACAAAAGGTAGACAACTATTGGAATTACGAAAGCAGACAATTATTGGAGGTACAGGACACAACAGTGGTAACTCAACGAAAACGCAAGTGAACTATACACGAATGTTATTGTGATAGAAATAAAAATAGATAGGCTTGTCAACTGAATTCTAAAGCAATTGAATTGTTGTAAGTGGACTTTTGGCAAGAAGAAGAGAACTGTATAGTGTTTAAGATACAAGTATGATATCCATAGTGTACTGTAACAACACATTTATTTATCCGTAGATTCTGTCACCAACACGAATTTCCTATTTTTTTCCCCTTGAGCTTTATACATTAAGCCCTTTTAACTGTTTATTTTGTATAAGTGTCCCATCTGTTGTCTTTGCTATAAACTAATATAAATAATAATAATAAATAAAAAAACTCTTAGAACAACAAGTTTCGGTAGGATGTAGAGCGATGAATCTTTCAGGTTTTTGAAGAAAAAAGGTTCAAAGATTTGAATAAAACTTATTAGTAATTAGTTTTAATTGGGTTTGATCAATACTTATAAATAATAACGGTCAGAAAATTTACTTTTTAATATGTATAGTAATGTAAGAATAAGGGTGTGTTGGGCTTAGGATTCTTCTACTAATCGATGTTCTTTCGTTGAGCGGGTTCTTTTAAATTACTTAGTGAAACTAATTCGAAGTCCAATCCACATAATGATAACAAATTAATTTATTTCTTCCTTAGCATTCTTACAACATACAAACTTATATTCTGTTGTAATTTGTAATGTTGTAGGCCTAGCTTTACAAATGATGTTCAAAAGGAAATAATTCGCTTACGGTAATAGGAGTAAACGTAAAATAAATAAATAAATATATATATATATATTGTACAATTTCATGGCTAATCAATTGATGGACTGAAAATACACGATAACTAACACTGATCCAAATACTTCACTGAAACTAAATATTTCACTGTTAACTCTACCGACTGAAAACAACTGACTCAATGCTTCACTGATTTTTTATTTATAATCTACTCTCGTCTCTGAATTGATTTTCATCCAATTTATCAGATTCTTGACTTCAAATTTAGAATATTCTAGATATTCCAGGCCTATAGTTTTATAAACTTTTCTGTCCTAACGTCATTCGTCCTCTAGCTAACATATAAATTAAAGCTTTAAAAATATAGTTTACAACAAATGAATAATAATGGCTGGAGACGGCTTGAATGGGTAACGAAGAAAAACTTTAATATAAGTTTAACATAACAGCAAATGTACAACGTTTCGACAAGGTTTTGTCATCATCAGGTATTCGAAGTGGGTATCTCGTCATCGAAAAACAAATGAATAACTTGAATTACAACAATGACTTAAGGTACGAGTAACACGCTAAAAATGTTTAGGCATACCACAGTCTTAAAGAAACTCAGTAGTTAACAATATAATTTTTACTGCTCCAAGTGTAACACATCAATAAATTTTACCAGTTAACTTAAATTAAAAATAAAACACAATATCTTTATTTAATTATATATATTTGATAATGAACTATCGGATCTGGTAAAATTTATTGATTTCGGACGATTACCAATGGTAACATAATTTTACATTTACCTACTATGAAGCAATATAATTTTAGATATTTCATTTTAAAAAAGTGTACAGTGAAGTCACTTATGCTTGTATTTTTGATATGATTTTTATACATGACAATTCATAAACGAATCCTTATTATTTGTAATATGAATGGTCTATTCTGTGTTTCTAGGAGCTACAACTTCCACTACTCGATTTAGTTTCAATAGAGGGCACTCAAATATTTCTGTCGACGAGATTAATCGGTTGGATGACGAGTGGGGGTATCACTGGAAAAAATGGTAACTCACTTTTGCATTTTATTGCTGTATTTGAATTATATAAACATTAACTTATAAAAAAAAAAGTCTGAAATTAATTTTTCTTTCTTTATATTTTAACCAGCTGAATCAAATATTTGAGGATAAATAATCTGATTAGGCTTAGCACAAAACGTATAAAATTAACATTAAATCACACTAAGTAAAACTAAAATTTAATTAGACTTTGATTTTGAGTGAGTTTGAATCTAATTCTAAACTAACTTTTAAGACTAAGATTCTAAGTTAAGAGTGACACAAGTAATAGTAGTAATACTATTAGTAAAAATTTACCAAATTTCGTAAAACTAAAAGTACTAATATAGTAACTATACTGCTGGTGCGACTACAACACACTGTATTACTACAGTATTGTCAGAAAATGAGTAATACGATAATGTAGGCAGGCCCATTTGCAATTAAGATTTGTAGAAGTTTAATATAATAAGAGTTGTAACAAAGCATTGTGATAGCATAAAATTGGTAACTTAAGAGCATTTAAATTTAAGGATTATTATGTTACATATAGTAGAACTAGTTAGAACACAAAATTAATGTTAAATAATAAATTAATTATTTAATAGGAATAATTTTAAGATGTTTGTGTATCTTGTGCTTTTGCTTTATTAAATATTGCATGTGTAAATGCTGTAAAGTAGTATCATGAACGTTCATTTCCAAAACATTAAAAGTTATTTGAATGAAATAAATGATGTTAATTCAAATTATAAATGTTTTTTTTTTTGGTGAAATTAATAGGATGGATTACGAATGGGGACATCATTAGGAAAGTTATGATAATTAGCCTACCAGTACCAAGTCTTTTAAGACAACTGGAATATAAAAATATTTAAACAGTTCTTGTTACACTTTCCAGAAAAATGAAATTCATCTAGTAAACCTCTCTGTTAGTTCTTTTCGATACACTTTCCATTGACAAGCCCCAGTAGACTTAATCCATACATCATGAATACAAATAGTATCATTTTTATACAAACACAGAAATTTCACAAGGAGCACGCAAGACAAATACACCATTCACATTGGTGATTGTATTGTTTCATCATTTTTTGTGTCATTTCTGTACCAATTTTGTTTTGTTTTTTTTGCATTTTTAATGGAATTTCCTTGGAAATGATATAAGCTCAACATTTTAATATTACATTATATATTGAATACAAACCTAAAGAGGGTATAATTTTCTTGTATAGATCATTGGTTAGCCACATTTGGAGTAATGTCTACAGTTTTAAAGGAATGACATTGAATTGTTAGAAAAGGTTTTGAGGAAGATACACAAGATGGAAAGGTTGTCATATGAGGACAGGTTAAGACATCTGAAGTTGTTTTCTCTTGAAAAAAAGAGTTAGAGAGGATCTGATTAGGTGCCTAAATACTGGATTTCATTTCTTCCGGTGGGCACAGCACAGATAAGCCATTGTGTATCTTTGTGCTCAGCAACAAACAAACTGATTAGGTGTTTAAGATTGTTAAGGGACTTGATGGTGTGGATGCATCATATTTTTTCATATTTAATGTTGAGAATGGTAGGACTAAAGGAAGATAAATATATAATTTTTGGCAGGGTAAGAGCTATCTTCAGCTAATATAGCTTTATTTTTCCAGTGGAGTAGTTAGCATTTAGAATGGGTTGCCTTCAGATGTGATGAATGCAGTTAATTTAAAGGTGTTTAATGGAACACCTGATAAATATTTGAATGGTAAGGGCTGAGTTTGAGTGCTTTATTTTAAAGTTTAGTGAATGGGATGGCCTAAATGGACCAACAGGCTCCTTGTTGTCCTTAAATTACATATATATAATGTATAAAAAAATTATTTGTTCTATAATGACAGCAAAATTGTAAACTGTATTAAATGGAGCCTAGTCTGTGTGTTATGCATCTTAAATGTGTGCTTTTTGATCTTATCTTCTCAATATAGCACAAAGAAATCAAAGGCCTCTGTTTCATCAGTTCTCTGGATAATCTTGTAAACTTCACTGAGATTGCCTCTTACAATTTCTTTCTCAAGATAAAATAAACTAGATCTTAACTTACCCCAGTAAAATAACCATTCCATTTGTGTAGTCATCCTAGTAGCCCACCTCTGTACCATTTCCAATAAGGCACTATTTTTTTACATAAGGATACCAAAACTGTGCAAATTATTGCAAGTGAGGCCAGTTACTTCCTTTGATTTGCACTGAACATATCCATAAATACACTCTGAAATTCTGTTGGATTAACTACTAGTAGCAGATCACTACTTCAGTTGCCCAAGATCCTTTTTTTCAGTCACACTATTGAGTCGATTTGAATATATGTTAAACACGTGATCCAAATTATAATATTCAAAATGCATTACCATGTACTTACTATAATTAAAAATGATTCACCAAATATTTCTCTAACATGTAAATTATGTCATCCTGTAATACCCCAACATCCTCAATACTGCTGGGAATACTCAATAGTTTAATGTCATCAACAAAATTTATTAATTAACAGTTAGATGTCTATCATTAATGTAAAGGAGAAAGAACCAAGGCCAAAGCACTGATCCTTTAATTATTCCATTAGTAATAAAGATGAGTTTGATTGGGGGTCATTAATGGCATGTTTTGCCTTTTCACATCCATCTACTCTACAATCCAATTAACTAGTCTTTTTCCCAACCCCTACTGTACATAATCAAAAGCTTTTTGAAAATCTTAAGTACACCAGATATACACCCTTTCTCTCATCCTTGACAAAATGCAACAGTTTAGCCAGGTGAGATTTCCCTTTGGTGAATTCTTTTTATTTAGAATATCTTTAAGTGAATGACTTTGTAAAGCAGCAGCTTTTATCACACTGTAAAATGTTTTCCACTACAGGAGTAAGACTAACTGATCTAAAATGTACAGGGTAATTCATATCGTCTCCTATAAAAGTACGAGTAACATGAGCAACTTTCTTAGGCAATTGCCCACTGTCTACATAATTGAAAGAGAGAATCTTACACTTTAAAACCCTGGAATAAATCTTTTCTGGCCATTGTGCTCTATCTACTTGTAATCTCTCATTCTATCTTTTGATTACAAATGGCATAATACATGTACATGATTCAGGTCAATCCTTACATTACCTGTAGAATACAGTCTTCTACGTGAACCTTGCCATCAACATTATTTAAGGACCCAATTTCTGTTATAATTTTGCTTATGTTTGACATATATAGAGAGAAAAAAAAACATCTGCTTTGATATTATGAGCTAGATGTTTCTCAAGCCATTTTCTGATTTCCTCATTTTTTTTAACCAAACACTGTAGATTTCCTATAATTCTGTTAATCTTATATCCTGTCTGGCATTTTAAACCTCTTAAACTTAAGGTATTTATCATTGAATTTCTCTTTCTTTTTAGTAAGTCAGTTAAGTTTGGTCTTCCATGTTATCCTTTACATATTATGAATTAAAAACAATTTATTTTTATAAATCCCAAACCTGTCTCACGATCACCTTTTAACTCATTGTTCCAATCCACTAATGATAAGTCTTGTCTCATAGCTTCAGAATTGGCTTTCTGAAGATTAGGAAGTAAAATTTCATTTCTGTTTTATCTCAACATTTAGTATAACATCAAACCTGTTTATCACTTTTTCCTAAGTGTTTCTCCACTTCAGCTCTTGCAATGTCATTGTTATTAGAGATTGGCAACAAATCTAAAGTTACTTTCCATCTGGTTGACTCTCTGACCATTTGGTATAGAAAAAAAAAAACTGAATCACTTAAAAAAACCTTTCTTTCTCGCTTTATACAATCTCATTCAGTCTGTTTAAAACTAGTCTTTCATAATTATCACTTTCTTTAACAACCATGATTGCAATATACAGTTTCTCATTGATATCGTAAGTTTGATCAGGTGACCTAACCGTTCTCAATTAAAAACTTTATCCTAGAAATTCCTGACTGTAACCCACAGATTTAACTACTTGACTACTGTTTCTTGTCTTCATTCCTAACAGGAAATTGTTCATCCCCACCCACCCCCATTTTTTAAGTCCATCCTAATCTGTTAATTTCCCTTCTGATAATAAAATCTTCCTCAAAATTATCTCTGACTTATGTTCAACTTCAAGAGAGCAATCTGCAAGTATGTTAATGAATTCAATTTTCCATGACAACTGTAATGTGTTTATTTTTAGTGGTATTATACCATTGTGTTGTCGCTTAACGTTGTTGACACAATTCGGTTCTTTGCTGTATTTAGTTTTTATTTGCCACTTTGTGTTCTCTCCATATTGTTGTTACAGAATGATTACTGTATATTTTTTGTTGTTCTCTACCGCTGTCTTAGATCTCAACGTCTTATCCCTCTTTATAAAAGCCTGGTTGGTTTTGTGTATCAAACTTTTTATTTTCATTCACTTGGTATGGAATTTTAAGTAGGTTAAAAATCTGATAAGGATATACTTTTTTTGTTGTTTCAATCTTTTTTCTTTTTTTTTGGCAGAACTTGTAACCATAAAAGTATCATTATAATTGTTCACGTATAAGTGCATCTACTCTTCACCTACTGTATTGTAAAGTGTGTACTTCTGAAGAAAGCTTTACATCTGGTCTTCATAATCAAATTTAGAGGTAATTATTTGGTGTGCAACTTCATCTAAGACGACATCACACAAATTGTAAAATCACCTTAAATTCTTTAAATTATCTTTCAAGAAAAGTTCTTAATTGTGTTGAAGAAGAGTATAATTTCCCATTATAAAAATAACTTGTTTGATATTTCATCCGGAAGTTTGGTTAAACCACATTTTGCACAAAGACCCTCAGAAAACAAACCCTTCACTATTACCAAAATACTAATGCACAACATTTCTAATGAAAAACTTGGAACTACAAGCATTGCCTACAATCATGAGTTGTTACTATGACGTAGTGAAAATCTGATCTCTCTCAAGTGTTGAGAAACTCGTTGTCACTAAGGAAACAAGTTACCAGATAATACTCTCACATTTGATATATTCTAGCTTTTTTTATTTGGAATTAATCTACATCCTTGTTCTAATCAAATGTCTGAGACTGTTATACTGCGGTATGAACATGGAGCAATATGTACATTTTACTACTGTTTTTCCTTATCTGACCAGAAAAAAACCAGCTGTGATGAGAAGTTGCTATGATACAAACATAGAACTAGAGTTGGTGCTTTTCTTGTGTACACGATTGTTGGTTTTTATAGGATAACTATAAAGGTGTCTTTTTCACATGTGGACTGATAGGATAAGAATTTCAGAATTTACTAAAAGCCTTGTAAACGTAAATCTAAGCTTGTTCTTATAAGTATTTTTCCATTATGAAATTCAAAAAAAGGTTTATAAGTACATGTACAATTATTTCCTAAGATGTGAAAATATTTGGAAAGTTACAGAAATTTTGTGATATACTTTTATTTGTTAGTGGATATTAGGGTTGTCATGGTTTGAAATATTTCTTTGTGGTTACTAATCATGCTTGAACTAATTCATAATTGATTAACTGGTTTGACTTAAAGAGTCTGTGAAGTTTAAGAAGTGTTGTTGTCATTTTGTGGAGCTGACACAGTTCTCAGGATTAATTAAACTTGTGTTCACTCATGCTTTAAGAGGCAAGTTGATTTTTGAATTAGATCTCTATTTCAGATCAAAACTGACGTAATAATTCAAAATGATCTTGTATATTAAGATTACTGCCTTGGATCATATGTTTAAAGTCAGATAGTAAGTAGATTCTAGTGTATATTCTGTTTATGTATTTCCTTGTGAACTGTAAATCATCTAGAGTTGTAAACTTTCATATTCTCCATTTTGCTGCATTTGGTATGGCCAAGTGAGCAAGCTTCAACTTCAACAGAATTTTCACATATCATGTATGACAGTATAAGTAAAATTACACATAAAATAGAAGAAACAAAAGCTCAGTGTTTAGGAAAACTTGGAACCAGTTAGGGTCTCAAGTTGAACCATAACTGGTTATCCCAGTAATCATGATACCTGTATTAGATATACATATATATATTTACACATTTCTGCTTTTCCTGACAGTCAACATAGTCTGACATATACAACATAAACACAGTTGTTTCAACTTTTTTTGTGTTTTGCCAGAGGGAAATGTCAGAAATGTTATAGCATTGTGAAAAAGGTTGTTTACACAACTGTTATTTCTCTATTGGTCTCTGAAAATTACCTTTTAATTTATTTTAAGTTAAAAAAGATTTCATATTTTTCACTTTCTTATATTTTTACAGATTTTCACATAAGGAAAGCTAGTGGTAATTTTTGACTGTATTGCGTAATTTTTACAAAGATGGTATCAAGATTCAATTGTAAGTACAAACACAATGCTGTCTCTGTGCTGTTTCATCGAGAACATGGCAACACCACATCTGGTGGGTCAACTCTGCAAGGAATAGCAGAATACAAAGCTGCAACTTCAGAACAGGAAGAAATGGTAAAATATTGACTGTTCAATACTTTTAAAAACATTTACCTAGGCCTATATTGTTTATATAAATGTGTGTGTGTTTGAAATTCTATCAATGGCTTTTTGTTATTAAAAACTATTTTCAGGAATCTTAATCAGTATCAGGGTTCATGATACTGACTATATAACCTTGATGCAAGTAGTTTATAACAGGCAGTGTTTTTCAAATGTTATTATGGTTATTGAAAACGTATTGGAACCTTAGTTATCAGTGTCGTGATACAATTTTGTAATTGTAGTTAATATGTTTTTTGTTAAAACAGTTTTTATTTAATCATGTGTTTTTCTCACATGTTATATATATATATATATTTTTTTTTATTTTATTTTTTTTTAGTTATTGTAGCTCATGATATTTAAGTAGGCAGGTTACATTGAAGCTTTCTCTTGCAATAAGAAAAATCAATAATGTTATCATTTTAAGAAAAATACACAGATTCAAAAAAATAATGGGAGATAAAAATAAAAAAACTACTTTCAAAAGGTAGACCTTTCTTCATCAGGGGCAAAGTGGAAGTGGCAGTATACTGTTTCATACTGTAATTTAAAATTATCTAGATTTATTTAGTAACAGTAAACACTTGTTTATCAGAGGGCACCACTAGTAATAGCAGCTTGTGTTTGAATGTGACTCTACAATAGAGGAGAATGTTATCAAAAAAGAAGGTACAGAAAGGTTGGGATCGAAATAAGATAATATATTGGAAAAGAAGTGAAAAGAACTTTGGATAACAAAATTATAAGGAAAACACAATGGCAGCCAAGTCTCTTATGAAAGAGATAGAATGGGAGGCTTGGATATTGTGGAGAACTTGAAATAAAAGACCCACTCGAAGTAGCAATTGCCTTTTACAGATCACGTCGAATGAAAAGAAACCAGATCCAACAGAAGAAAAAGAAACTGTAGACATTAATAGAGAATGCATAACTAAAAAAAGAAATGACAGATAGGCGTAATAAAGAGATCAGACAGAGTATAGAAAAATTGGAAAGGAATGAATTAAAAGAATGAATGAAGAAAAAATAAAGGTAAGTAAAGAATAAAAAAAAGTAGACGATATTTTTGAAGGAAGAAGTGAAGTTTTGTAATGAGGAATTAGATGAATTGGAGAACAGACAAGGTTGAATCTGGTTTTCAAGGGGAAGAAAAAGTAGAAGAGGAAGACACTTTGGAGATAACAGAAAACAAATACGTCTTATATTGGTGAAGTTTGAAAAAGAAAAGAGAGAAAAAGTGGAATTGAAATAAGGAGGGAATGAAATAAATATTGGATGGTTAAAAAATAGCAAGGTACTAGATGAATGAAATTCAAAATAAAATGTGGAAGAATGCACTAGAAATAGTGATTACTGATGGAAATAATGAATAAAATTTGAAGAGTAGAAGAGGGCTTCTCATAGTAATCACTAATTTCTCCAGTTTCTAAAGTGAGTGAAATAAACAGACAAAAAAACTTGTGGCAGGAATTTAGGTTTCTAAATCTTTCAAGCCTCAAAAAAGGATTTTGGGGCCTGAAAGACAACCCAGGGTGGTCAGAAACTTTTGCTTCTCTTCACTCCGCATAATGAAAAGGTTAATGCCAAACAAATCTTGATGGAGCCACAGGGCTTAGTTTAATTTTAACATGGGGAGAGGATAGTTGAGAGACAGGTGGAGACGAGGAAGATGCTGACCCAAGCGAACCATGTTGAGACTGTCGTTCTGAAGATGGAGCAGAACATGTGCATTTGTTTATCCACTTGACAATAACATCATTTAGAGATAGTAGTCAACGAGGATTGGAGCAGAGAGATGCTGACTGAGTAAGCACAGTTCTGTTTGAATAGATTTCTGAAAAATAGATTAGTTTATAATTAAAGAAATATTGTGATTAAATGGTTAAAGATACTCTGTTGGACTTAGTGGATTAATGGTTCTTTTTTGGGTAAATTTTAAAGTGAGTGATTGGGACCAGGCACAAAATTATAAAATAATTTTCCTCTTAGCAGTAATATTAAAAAAAAATGACTAAATAGATGTGTTAAAGAAAAAGCAAAAAATACCGAGAATGATAGGCATGACTTAGAAAGAAGTGAAACCGTTAACAATATTTAATACATTGAGAAAAAGGAAGAGCTGAAAAAAAGGGTAAAATTATCTATATCTCAAGATTCAATAAATCAAAACAAACTATATGGAATTTAAGGAAGATAAAAATAGGGAGAAGATAAGGAGAATGATATAAGACGTGTATAAGTATGTCAGCAATGTAGGAGTTGAAAATTAGTAGCCTGAAAAATGTTTAATCAAAAAAGGAGAGAGACGTTGTTCGTGAACTTTTGTTGTTGTTGTTTCGATATAAAAGAATGTACGAAGAAGAATCAAGCTAGAGAATTTTAATTAGAAAGGAGGAAATATATCCACTAGTTTATTTAGGTAATATAGTTATTTTGGCAAAATGAGTGGAAGAATTAAATTCAGTTACAAAAGCTTATAGGAATATTCAGAAAGAAATCGGTTTACCCCAGTTTAGAAAAATCCAAGATACGAGGTTTCAAAAAAAATAGGGGAGAGAAAAGAGCAAAAATGTTAAGATTTAATTGAGGTGGCATGATGATTCAAATATTTGGGTTATATCTCGCATAAAGTATCTGGTCAATAAAGGAAGTACAATTATTGGTGCGGTATGCAGAATAGAAGCCAGAAATTGGCAAGATATTTCCAACTCGTTAAAGAGACATTTAAGGAAAATGTTAGAGGAACAGTAGTGTGGAGGAAGATCAAATATGACAAAGTAGAAATAATACACATGAGAGTGATGAGGCATATATCAACATCTACTGGAAATAAAAAAAAATAGGGATCCAACAAGTGTGGCAGAAGACAATTGTGAAAAAATGGCAAGGGAAGCAAAAGGATAGTTGACTCAAAAATATGAGACAGCACAAACAGGATAAGAAAATGAAGGAAATCAGATGGAAAACTGAAGTGAGAGAAATGGTACAAATGGAATAAGGAAATAGAAAGAGATAAAATTGTAATAAAGGAGAGAAGACATATTTGTAAACAAAAAAGTATAAAGTAAAGTAATTGGAATATAAAAAGTGTTACAAGGAAGTGAGTAATTACAAAATAAGGTTCAGATGTGGATATGGTTTAAATAATTAGAAAATACTAGAAGAAAGAAGTGTAGACTTTAAGGAAAAAAGAGGGAAATATTGGAACATCTCAGTACAGGATGCATCAAAAGAAGTTTGGATTGAAAAAAAAAACTGGTCAAAGAGGAGAAGGTTAAATAAAAATGCAGAAGGATTAAAGGAGATACAGAGATTGAAGCAAGGATGGAAAGAGAAAGAAGAGAAGAAAGTAGATAAATATGAAAAAGAGTAAGAAGGAAAAGGTAGAAAGGAAACTGAAAGAAGTAATGTAAGAGTCAATAACTGTAGCATAAATTGAATTCATGTAATACAGATGGTTTAATGATTTTGCTGATTAATTTATTTAGTTAGGGATTTTTTAATGCTTTTAGTAATTTATATTAACCCCCGTTCTACCCATTTATATTAATCCCCATTCTGTCTCTGGGGAAGTGAAAGAGATTCTGTTCATTATTAATTATCATAAAACTCCTTGTGTATTATATAAATCACATGAGCTCAAAAAGTGTTTGATAGCAGGGTAATTTTGTGTTGACTGTGGATTTTTGTTGCATAGAACAAATAGCAAATTATATCAATATTTAAGAATTTTGTTGCCAGCAACTTTTTTTTTTTAGTAATATGCACTCTAATCCATTCCATTTTCTGTTGATAAAAATACCGAGAATAACTGATGTTGTAACATTAAAGTTTATGTACATGCAGTTTATTCATACATGGCTGGTATAAGTGACTTTGTGGTAACAGTACCTTTATTTTTTTTAGGGGGGGGGGGGTCATTTATATAATTGTGTAAAGTTTTGGACAAAATGTTTAACAAGTTTTTTTGCTCAGAAAACCAGTTTAAACAAGAATTCTGATAACATACAAAATGTATGATTAAGTGGTGTTTTGTTTAAATTTGTCTTAACTTATAATACATTTTCTAATTCCTATTTTATTTTAAAAGCACTGCAAATTGCCAGCTTCGGTACGGTCAACATTTCTCACAGCTTTTAGTCCAGATGGGTAAGTATGTTTTTATAGATTGTTGTAGTTCTTATTACTCAATTATAGATACGTAAGGTGACTGAAAGGTTCTTTAAATTGTTTTCTTACTAATTTTAATTTTTTCAGTATTTTTCATTTATTTCAAAAACAAATTCAATATCTTTAAGCACGAATGTTTTTATTAAACCAATATCTGCTTTAGGAGGCTTTTGCATAATGCTCTTAAGATATACCCCCCCCCCCCATTATCTTTAAGTGCTTTCTAAAGTCCACCAACAATACATGGATGACGTTGAAGTCTTGTTTGCACTTGTATTTTGTGAAGGAACTTGCATATTGACTTAGTGGAACCATATCTTATTGATATCCATTTTATACAAAGATGGTATAACTTCATTGTTGACTACCTCTTCCTCTTTACACATTTTCCAAAGTTCATCCACTGTGCTTGAATGATGACTTGCAAGAGTTTGTATAAACAACTCAAGGGAACAGATGTCTATGTCCAAAGCTCATCCACTGTGCTTGAATGATGACTTGCAAGAGTTTGTATAAACAACTCAAGGGAACAGATGTTTCTGTCCAAAGTTCATCCACTGTGCTTGGATGATGACTTGCAAGAGTTTGTATAAACAACTCAAGGGAACAGATGTTTCTGTCCAAAGTTCATCCACTGTGCTTGGATGATGACTTGCAAGAGTTTGTATAAACAACTCAAGGGAACAGATGTCTATGTCCAAAGTTCATCCACTGTGTTTGGATGATGACTTGCAAGAGTTTGTATAAACAACTCAAGGGAACAGATGTCTATGGGAGACACCTGCAAATTTTATAACATAACTTGGTTTTTTGTACTTGAATGTTGACATGGATTTGTGGCTAGATGCTTCATCTTTATGGAACCATACCTTATTCAGTCCATACAAATATTGTATTTCCTGACAATATAGTGTCTGATAGTATGCAGAGTTCACCTTGACATTTTTTGTCAACTCTCAGAAGTTTAGTTTACTATTATATCTGTAACTTACAAAAACCATAAATCTTTTCAGAAAAAGGTTTACAACATATTCTGCACCATTTTGTTCCACTTATATAGTTTTCAATAGTTGGTCTACCATTCAGTTTTGTGTTTTGGGGGATGCTTGTGAACTTGGTTTTTTGTTGCTTTTGTAGACCTTCATTTTTAAGGAATATCTTGTTCATAGTTTGAAAAGAGGTTCCTGTTTTAGCTACAATGGATTACTCTGTTCTTGAATTTTTTTCTTACAAACTGTTTTTTTTATTCTTCACTGTCTCCAGTGTGCATTTGATAGCTGGTTATGGAGTAGCCTGTATCTCTTCTGCAGGAATATTGCCCTCCCTTATTTTACTGAAAGTGTTCAATACTGTAGATATCCCAGTTTTAGAAACACTAAAATTTTTTGTTTTGCATGTTTTGATAATTGCTGAATAAGAAAACTTTGCCCCAGAAAATTCTGTAATACCATCTTCCCAGAAGAAGTCAATTGTAGGTTCCATCTGCACTTTAAAATTGCTACAATATGCCTGAATTAAAACAACAAAGTCGGGGATTTTAACTTGTCATACATCACAAGGATGTCCAGGGCAAGGTATACAGGTGAACAGTCCTTTGTAATATTATCACTGATCTGTGTCTTGCATTCTAAAGGCACATTTGTTTTTGTTTTTCTTTAGTCAATTGTTTTTGTATTACCTAATTGTAAGAATGCTAGGTCTCGTAGCCATTTCTTTCAGATACATTTGTGTCCAAGACAAGAAGTGGTCATTTTATTCTTCTGACATAGAATAAGCTATTTCCAGTATACCCTACTAAAACTTAAAGTACTTTGCATTCTCAGTGATGTGTGAATAATTAACTTGTACAAAACACTAAATGGTAGGAAGTGCTCACAAACTTAGTTCTTTGCAAACATGTTTTCACAATAACTATAACCTGATATTATAGATAATTTTGTGTGAATGTGATGCATTTATTATAACCTTATTAATTTTTTGTCTAGTTTATTATATTGTGCATTATTTTAATAACAAAGGAATTATGGATTGCCTGTATTATAATTACCTGTAAACTAATTTTTTATTGCCTAAATGTAATATAACATGAATTAATTGACTTCAGACATTTTGCATCAAAAATTAAATTGACTATTTAGAACATTTTATGATTTAAATCTGTAAAGTTAACACAGTGAAGTTATTTCAGTATTTTTGTATTTTATGAATTATTTCTACTACAATTTGTAAATTCTTAAAATATTTAGAACTAAAGTAGCATCTACTCATGGAGACCACAAAATATACGTATGTGATGTGAAGACAGGACATCTCTTGCATGTACTGGAAGGTCATCCTCGTACCCCTTGGTGTGTGGCCTTCCATCCTTCCTCCAATGAAATCTTGGCCTCTGGCTGTCTAGGTGGTGAAGTTAGAGTATGGGACCTTCATGTAAGGAGTGTGTTTATTTACATATTTTAAGCAGAAGGTTTTGTTTTTTCTAAATTATTTGTACAGAGCTGCTTTTTGTACATTTCTTGCCTCTTGAAATGAGATTGCCCAAGAACTAACACGTTTTAGAATGCTTTAATATGTATCCATTGCACCAACCCTGTTTCTGTGAAGCAATGTTTACGAATATAATTCCGAATCTATTATGTGTATCTTCACAAAATGTGGTAAGCTTTTCACAAACATCACAAGTCTGTTGTACGCAGAAAATTTTACATTTTAATAAAGTATTTTTACAAAATATTTTTCTGAATTTTTAAAGCCTTTACCGAGTGAAAGGTGGTTTTCATGTTAAGAATAAAAATACTTATTTTCACCTTTTAGTTTTCATATTTCATTTGCATAACCTCTAGAATCTCTTAAATGAATATCAAAACTTTTGTTTTGTCAGATATTTTCATTACCTTAATAATAACTGTAGCAAAATTAGCAGTGTAAGATGAAAAATATGAGGTAAATCTAAATTAACAACTTTTTTTTCTTGAATTACTTCATATTTTAAAGATATATTCTTGCAGCCTGAGCTTTTAACTTCTGGTTTAATTTAGTTTTAATTGCTTTATAACTGTACTTAAACCATTTCAGAATATACTAAAATCATTTATCACAGTGGGGTAACTTTGTATAAACAAATGATTGAGGTAACAATCATGTCATGGGATGTGCCATGTGCTAGAATATCAAGTATGATGAGGAATTAATTATTTCCATTTAAGTTTTCTTAGTTAACCTAATGAATTTCTAATGTTTACATTATAGTTACTTTTCAACAATAAATTTAATATTTAGACAGGACTCTAGATTATTATTTTTTTGATGAGCAAGGCACTCTAAACCTTTTTTTTTTTGTAATGATGTTGATTTTACATAAAATTATTTATTTCATATATACATTTTAGAACATGAAAAACAATCTCATGTTTTAGTGTCCTAAAACTTCTGTAATTGGCTTTCTAAATAAGCTATAAATAGGTTAAAAAATGATTGTTTTAACTCTTTTAACTGAATATCATGATCATAACTGAGACTAATTATCTACTTACGAGCACCATAACCAAGTAAGGTCTGTTGGTTATAAATAATTCAGTAGCAATGTAAGAGAAAGTTATTGGTATTTTTCTGTGTGGAACTAATGAGAAAGAAGGTAGTGTCACATGGGTTTGACATATTTGTTTATATCTCAGTAAGAATGAAGATTTGGGGGCCTTAACCTGATATTCTCATTTTGCAATATCTATAGCATGCATTTATATTTAGTTTTACACTCAGAAAGTCACGTAAGGGTGTAATAAAAATTAAAAATGGATAAGTTGGAGTTCAACTATGTCAAGCGATACAGACGAGTCAAGATTGAGGATTTGCTTCAATCTTTCATTTTCAACTTGAATTTAGATAATAGAAAAATTTTAATTATAAATTTTTGATGCTAAGTTTATTAACATAAGTTGTTGAAAAAAAGAGTAGTTTAAAGATATTTTGAATCTAACTATAAAAAATAGGTCATGACGTGTATACTTTGATCCATCCATACACATGGAGTTATCTTGTATTTTTTTAAGGAAAGGTTCCTTTTTTTATTTTAGTGACATATTTACAGGAGAAAATATTTCAACTATTGCATGGTTTTCACTCATCATATCATGTCTTCTCAGCTGTTTAATATTTTTTTGTATTAATTTTCAAATGTATTTTTTATTATTTACACGTATATTTAGATATGTATAAATTCAGCTTTATGGAAAAATGGTGTGTAATATATATAATTTTACATAAAAAGCTTTATAATTATTATTGTATTCAATCATTTTAGGGAGGAAGTGAAGTGTGGGTGGCAGAACAGAACACAGTCATTACATCGCTAGCTTTTCATCCGTATGACAGAGTACTAGTTATAGCAACATTCAACAAAATTTACTTCTGGGATTGGAGTCGACCATTGCCTTTTGCTACGTGTGTTACCTCCTCAGATAGAGAAAAAGTCCGGTAAGAGTTTGGCAGATACGAATGAATTACAACTTTGGAAACTGGAATGTCCATTGCTATAATTTTGAAGTTTCAGCATGTGTAAGGTTGATGACATTATTCAAGACTGAATTTTTTTAGTAGTTCTCAAACAATTTTTGAAGGATTTAGGGAATTTATCTATTTTGTATTTCGTGCAGTTTTCTTTAAATCAAAACAAAGACAAAATTTACAGTGTTATAAAATGGAGACTTTACTGGAATGTTTTATATGAATTTAGGAAGACATAAAAAATCAGTATTAAATTAAAACCTACAACAAAAGTAAACATTGCTGAAGCTGAGAATTCATAAAAATATCATATAAAGATAAGGTATTATGTTATACGGAAGCTATATAGCCTGTTGGAACTTCATCTCAGTATTTTGCAGTACAATCGTACAGTAGTTGCACGTGAAACACTCGAGCATTTGAGGGTTAACCTTAATCACTAGTTCCCAGACTGGGGTTTGTGAGATGGTGTCAACACGTGTAAAAAATATTATCTTTTTGATACTTCCCTAACAACAAACAAAGCAGTATTTTTGGTGGGAATTGTATTAAATATGCAATACTCTTTATTATTTATGTTTGAGATCATTTTCTAAAAATAGATTGCAATGAAAATAAGGTACCCAAAGAATGGTTATCATTTAAAATTTCTACCAAATCATTAGGTGGGACCTTCAGCCAGGGTGTCTAAGGCCTTGGTGGAGGGGGGTCATCAATCCTAAATGTTTGGGAACTCCTAATCTAAACTATATTAATCTCCTGACAATCAACTACTAAGTCAAATGCTAATTATGAGTGAGTAAAACAATGTAGCTCGGCATGAGAGGCTTAGTTTGAACTCAGACAAGTACTTTCTATACTGGAGGTTTACTCAAGTGTGAATAAATCATTCTAGAAACTGTAAGTCAAATGCCCCAGTTTCTAGAATGATTTATTCACACTTGAGTAAACCTTCTGTATAGAAAGCACTTGTCTGAGTTCAAAACTAAGCCTCTCATGCCGAGCTACATTGTTTTACTCACTCATAATTAGCTTGTTTCGTAGTAGTTTTCCATGTGTTTTTCTCACTTTAGGGAAAATGTATAGTAGGGAAAGCATTAGTTTGAGTTCACACCAAGATTGATAGTAGTTTTCCATATGTTTTTCTCACTAGGGAAAATGTATAGTAGGGAAAGC